CTGGGAGAGCAGCCAGAAAGAGTACCCTCAGTTTTGAGGAGCCTGAGAAAACCCGTGCGGTGTCTTGGCAGTCACCATTTTCTGAGGAAGCACCTGGTGTTTACTGGGACAGTGTTAGTTGTAACTAAACAAAAAATGTGTTGTTTTTTCACTAGACTGTGGCAAACCCCGACATTGCTGCAAGGAGGAAGCTGAAGAGACATAAGAATAAAGCAGAAACCAGGAAGAGAAAAATAGAATTCCTGCGCCCTACCTACAAGGCCAAGAGACCTCGAAGTCATGCACTGAAAGATTTAGCAATGGTGGAATGAAAAGGCTTTTCGTTCCTGGAGGATTAATTTATAAAAAGTAATTTCAAACTGAAGAACTAACTAGTGTTTTAAAAAAAAAATTACATATTTTTATTGTATTTATTAGTATTTTTCATGTCTTCTTTTTCATCTAGGATCTTATAAACAAAAGCTTTTCAATTTTCTTCCAAACCTGCATATTTACCAGAGCATGTACAGTTGAATGGACAACCACCATGAGCTTTTATAATAAATTTTACTTAATTTCTAAGAGATGGGTTATGTGATGACTGCATTCATGCCTGTGAATGTCTTCCCTCTGGGCGAGAAAGCAGTCTGCCTCCTGACTTGTCTTTCAGTTTCTGCAGCCCCTACTGAGCAACTTACCAGTCATTTCAGTACAGGACTAACAGCTCATGAAGGTGGAAGTTAAATTCAAATTATGGCCCTGGCACAGGGCCAGGCAGTAGGTGGCTACTGCAGGCATTTTTCCTTTCAGCAAACTAATGCTGGGTTAACAGCCCGAGGTGCACTGTTCCTCTCTGCTGTACTTCACTGTATCAGCCTAACCCACGCAGAAGGCTACACTGTGTAACATCAGCTTAAGGAAACCTCTTCACATGCTCAGCAGATGGCTGTTAGAACTGTCACTACTTGGACTTGGTGCTGTAAGCAATCGGCCTCGAGCAAGCAACACACTTAGGAGTACAGCCGACAGTTCCAGATTTTATTAGTGTTTTAATTACACAAATATAGTAGCCACTAAAACTTAAAGCCACTGAAAGGGGAGGAGCAAAAAAAAAACCCCACTCTAAGCCAGTAAGACTGTCATACAAATTAACATAAGTACATCCTTTAAACAGAAGAAATGGAGTATCATAATGTACACAGCCAGTCACTTGGTTCAGTTTTACAATTCCAGAGAGGCAACCACATTACAGGAGTCAAACTCAAATCTGTCTTATTTACAAATATCTGTGGCCTGAAAATGCTTGACTGCAGAAAGAGGGATGCTGGATAGAGCTGAAACTTCTCTACAGTGGTCAGCTTTGCATCACTGCCTGCTCTTCAAGGCCTCCACCAACCTAGGAAAAAGGTTAAGCCGTTTTACTAAAAAGTTATTTCAATTATGTTGGGACACTTTAGAAGGAGTAACTTTCTCTGAATGTGGACTCTGTCTTTTGTGTCAGACAGACTTTCCACAGATCCAGTTTTCAAAAAAAAAAAACCCACCAAAAAACAAAGCACTACCCTGCAATATTTTTCTAATGAAGTTAGTTAGCATAATTGGACCGTTACTCACCATTCCATTGCTTCATCAAGCCCGGTGCCTTTAGTTGCAGAGGTTTTGAATATCTGCCATTTTCGGTCCTTCAAAGCTGGTAAGCCAAGTGCGTTTGCCATTTCTGTGGGAGTCATGGCCTGTTCCATGTCCTGCTTATTTGCAAACACCACCAAAATGGCTTTCTTCAACTCCTCTTCCTAAAAAAAAGGGAATCATGCAAGTTTCTGCAGAGACTTGTACTGAATTTATTGAAGCAGAGAAAACGCATGCAGTGAAAAGAATCTTCAGCAGCTCTCATACTGATTTTCAGCTTGCTGATTTTTTTCTTTAGAACAGTGAAAGAATGGCATTTACTTTTGATTCCAGTATGATACCACACAGGAGCAATTTAAAAACATGGCCAGTTATGCCTGTTAACATTATGAAACAAGCTGGTAGGTAGATTTAACAAGGCACATCAAAAAGCTTGAAGGGCTTTTTTTTAAAAAAAAAAAAAAGTACTCTTGCTCAACTTTTCTTCTTACTCATATTACCCTGTTCTAAGTTTGTTCTTCAGCTTCAAAAGTAGATAGGTGGTAGGATTCATAGTAGGATACTAATTACTTTTAATTCTTCAGGGCTTGATTTTGCCACCACTGAAGTACTACTGAGCAGCTGTCTTTACAGACAAATTTTCATGTGACCACAAGGCCACATGTCACTACCTTGCTGCCCAGACAATGCTGCACAAAACTGTGAAGTAACTGCAGCGTATTGAGTGCTTCCAGTCAGACTTGCTGCACAGGCCTGTTCTGAGGGCTGCAGTTTCACAACTTTGAAGTTGAGCATCACTTGATTCACATTTCACGTTTGCGCCAAAGAAAGGTTTTAATTTCTCCATTTCTGTTTTACTAATATCATCATCATCCTCCTCGTTTTCTCACCTCCAACATAGCAACAAGCTCTGATTTTGAAGTGCCAATTCTGTCGCGATCACAACTGTCCACTACGTAAATGACTGCGTCTGTGTTCGAATAGTAACACCGCCAGTATGGCCTGCAGAAGAAAGACAGGTTCCAGTCATTCAATTAGCACTTTTTAGCAGTGCTTTTTAGTCAGATAATGAAAACTGGGAAGTAAAAACTGTCCCTGGGGTGAAAGGCCCCAGAAAGCAAGTGGAAGAGAGAAAAAAAAAAGAAAGAGGGGAAAAAAGAAAGAGGGGAAAAAAGAAAGAGGGGAAAAAAGAAAGAGGGGAAAAAAGAAAGAGGGGAAAAAAGAAAGAGGGGAAAAAAGAAAGAGGGGAAAAAAGAAAGAGGGGAAAAAAGAAAGAGGGGAAAAAAGAAAGAGGGGAAAAAAGAAAGAGGGGAAAAAAGAAAGAGGGGAAAAAAGAAAGAGGGGAAAAAAGAAAGAGGGGAAAAAAGAAAGAGGGGAAAAAAGAAAGAGGGGAAAAAAGAAAGAGGGGAAAAAAGAAAGAGGGGAAAAAAGAAAGAGGGGAAAAAAGAAAGAGGGGAAAAAAGAAAGAGGGGAAAAAAGAAAGAGGGGAAAAAAGAAAGAGGGGAAAAAAGAAAGAGGGGAAAAAAGAAAGAGGGGAAAAAAGAAAGAGGGGAAAAAAGAAAGAGGGGAAAAAAGAAAGAGGGGAAAAAAGAAAGAGGGGAAAAAAGAAAGAGGGGAAAAAAGAAAGAGGGGAAAAAAGAAAGAGGGGAAAAAAGAAAGAGGGGAAAAAAGAAAGAGGGGAAAAAAGAAAGAGGGGAAAAAAGAAAGAGGGGAAAAAAGAAAGAGGGGAAAAAAGAAAGAGGGGAAAAAAGAAAGAGGGGAAAAAAGAAAGAGGGGAAAAAAGAAAGAGGGGAAAAAAGAAAGAGGGGAAAAAAGAAAGAGGGGAAAAAAGAAAGAGGGGAAAAAAGAAAGAGGGGAAAAAAGAAAGAGGGGAAAAAAGAAAGAGGGGAAAAAAGAAAGAGGGGAAAAAAGAAAGAGGGGAAAAAAGAAAGAGGGGAAAAAAGAAAGAGGGGAAAAAAGAAAGAGGGGAAAAAAGAAAGAGGGGAAAAAAGAAAGAGGGGAAAAAAGAAAGAGGGGAAAAAAGAAAGAGGGGAAAAAGAAGCCTGAAAACAGAGAAGGGACAGATTTATTTGGGAATCAGCCTGCAGGACATAAGGTCCATAACCGAGGGACAGGGCAGCAAAGAAAGTTTAACCACACACGCTTCCGCCCCAGGTAATCATGTTCACCAAAGAAGGATAAACAGAGAAATCTTAAATGACTAATTCATACAGGCAAGTAGTTAACAAGGATCATCACATATTGAACCACCTTTTTCAGAATTACCTCACTGAAGCTAAAAAGGGAAGGAACCTGCACCCTACTACCTAGCGTTCAAAAGGAATCACAAAAAGCTCATACCAGGGTACTGAAGAGATCGCTGCAATTACGCATCTAATGACTCATTACAAAACTTGTAAACCTGGCTACACAAAAAAAATTACTGTCTACTGAAATTCCAACTTCCTAGCTTTGCATTCTTAAGAATATTTAAATATCTTTTGGGGTTTCTATCACTCATTTCCCCTCTTTCTCAGAATGCTACGCAGTTGGCTACTACACAAGTAAACTTGTTTTTCAAAGCAAAACTGTACACAAGTGAAAACATTCACTTGTTTCTTTCTAATCTGTATTACAAAACAGGTTGTACTAACCAAGCTGTCAGATGAAAGTGCTCTCATAACGATGGGCTGGTTTTAAAACTTAAAAGAACCAATTTTTAGACGTGCCAGTGATGACAATTCCAAGAACAAAGTACTTTTTAGAGAAATTTAACTCTGTCTTTTCATTTTACGAGATTTATTACCTTATGCTTGTCTGTCCTCCCAGGTCCCAAACTTGAAATTTCAGATTCTTGTATGTCACTGTCTCAACATTGAAGCCAATGGCTGAAACAAAGTGAAACAATTCCACTGGTGGTGATTTTGATTTTTCTGAACAACATGACAGCATTTAGTTTAAAATTTTAATGCCTGAAAAGTCTCAGTCGCTGCATAATTAAGTTCATGCTCCTTGAGAAGTTACAACAAACACTGATGGCTCAAAATAACGCAGTTTGGGGGTTTTTTTTTAACAATAAAAACACATTGTAAACACATTGTAGAAATTTGTAACAAATGCTAAGGTTGTTAACAGAAGTGTGCCTGAAATCACCAGAAGAAATAAGAGCAGGGGTTAAAGGAATGGCCTGTGGTGATAAGCAAGTACACAACTGACAGCAATAAACCACTAAGGAATGTGTCCTTCATATCGACATCACATCTGCGCTCTCATAAGACCACAGCAGAACCAGCTCCTCAGCAGAAGACTTAACACTGTGATACCTGGAAGAGGGCAATAAGGTTACAGCGTATCTTCCATGTCATTCCTTTTCCTGCCAGCCCAGAGAAACGCAGCACAGGGAACCGAATGATGGACACAGACTGCCTAAAATTTATGGAGGCTGAAATAAGCAAAACCCTGGGGCAAAAAGATTATGGCATAATAAACTGCTGGCTGCTAAAAGGTAAGAAGACACCTGATCAAAGTCAGATCATGGCCATTCAGGTGGAACCCAAGAGATATGACAGGGACTCAAAAGCCAAGTGTCCCTTGTCCTTCACGTTACACAGAGCGAACCCAGCCAGACCACTGAGTGTGTGTAGAGGTGGGTAAGGCTGCATGAATGCCCAGACAATTAGTGAAATCAGTGACATTTTTTTAAATAAGCATCATCTCTCTCCTTCCATCAGATCTTACACTGAATTCTGTGACACTTTCTACATAATGTAAAGTTAAACCACCTGCATTTCTTCTTCTCTGTGTTAAACAGAAGCGTTCATGTAGCAAACTGAAGACCCTTCTTAAATGCAACAGCGCGAGGCTCCTGCAAGGCACGGTCCTTTTGTTTATGAAAGAAGCACGAGGTGAGTTACGCTGCCAAAGCTCACGGGCGAGAGCTGCAGGCAAATCTGCCATTTTCACCAAGGGACTAA